AACCCATACACTTGTGAGAGACGAGGCAACCAAATAGATCGTGTCGTCAGGTTCAGTGACTTGGTTGAGGGCGCGTCAGGTAATCACGATGCCAATCACTGGATTGCCTGGTTAGACCAGATTGTTTACTGGCCGCCGTCATATCAGAGCTCCAGATAACATTTTGAGCAATTGACTTTTTACTCCAGGGTTTCGATTTTTATTGGGTTATTACATTTTTCATTGGGTAATATTATTTCACTCATCACTCCATTTGTTTTTTCCTAAAATGAGTGTACATTTTAAGATTTAAAAAAAATGAACTAATGTTTTAGATGTATATAACTGTTCCAAATATATAGGCTTGACTCGGAAAGTAAATCAGCTCGTAATTGTGTTTCGGAAATTAGCTCCTTTGTACGCATGCTTCTTTTGGTTATTTACGCGTGCTGTTTTTATACATTTGAGTTTTTTTCATTTAATGCATGCGTTTCTGTACGCAAGTTAATTGAAAGTAATCGGGTTTTGAATATGGGGGGGGGGGTATTTTACGCAAATACGCTGCTGATCTGTAGCTCTGCATTTTGGTCAGTGACTATATTATATGGTCTCTGATGTGGATGGATTGTTGCTGAGTGCGGCGTTAAACAACAAACGGCGACTATGTACGTAATACTTCAAGGACAATGTACAAGACAAATAAGGGCCTGACCATTTGATATTCGTGGGAGGGGTGGGTATGTGTGTGTGTGTGTGGATGTGGGTGTACTTGGGACGTTTTCGGAAAAAATTGCTTTGAAACATTCATTAAAGTTCAGACTGTTCGAAAATTGTGTGCCACAAAAAATACAATAATGTTTCCGGATGTTTTTGCCACAGGAATTGGTTATTGGTCAGTAAATAAAAATATATACCCCCTATATGTAAGTATATAGGGGGTATATATTTTTATTTACTGACCAATAACGAGCTCCTGTGGTTTTTGCAAATAAAATATGTAGGCTTATAATTTTGATTTTAAGGAAATATCTAAAATTGCCTATTCTCCATACAAAATCACAGGACCTCCACCCTAGAATATCAAATGGTCGGTCCTTAACAGCATGATGTGGAATATCAATTATGACACAGCTATCAAACATCACATGACTATGTAACACTTAATTAAGCTTGTTACTGAATTTGAATAATTTTCATTATCTCATAGTTTGATTTCTTTCAGGAATGCAATTATGTTTGACGATAAATCCGATCAGTTACCTTTCATCGGAAGATTCCTTCTGACCGCATGAATCTGACCTTTAATTATTTATTATTTATTAACCGTATTTCCTCATCGTGCTCATGAAGACGCCCGGGCGACTATTGTCTATTAATTTCGCACAAGACATTGACCGGGCGTCTATTCTGTTTTATGTGACACAGTGGTAACACAGTATCTTATACCGAATCTCAGATTATAGTCATAGAACGTACATTGTTAATCACCAACATACCACAGCATAAAGTAGGAGACTGTGAAGTTGGGAATTTACAGATTCCATCAACCGATAGACTCGGCTTTCAATAAATTAAAGGCCCCTCGTCTGATTTCTGAAAGCAGCGTCAATGAGAGGCCGGCGTGTATTTGAGTACGTAAGGATAAGATATATGGATGAACGACTTCTTTATTACAATTAGGAGCGACGCTTCGGTGTAGGTTCTAAAATCATTATCAAGCAAGCGATGTAGAGTATGGTTGACAAGCATATATACAGGTATGAGGCAGTGTTTATACAGTTGAGTAGATTGGGATGCAGTTTGTTGAGAAGCCTGTTATGTACACAAAAGGGGTGATACAAGGTGAAGGTCCAGACTCGGTTATTTACAGACCGCTGTCATAGAGCTGGAATATTGCTGAGTGCGGCGTTAAACAACAAACAAACAGGAACAAAAGCGTTTTTGACGTTTGACACTGATGAATATGCTTGCGCGTCATACTCTCTCATCACGCTCCCGGGATGAAGGGTAGGGATTAACGCGCTGGTCCTTGATAGGTTTATTGCGGTAACTGGTCGAGTTGTGGTGTGGTATCACAGCAACCCGCACTGGTGTTTTAACCTCCCATGCTCACTTTATGATATGTTATTGTTATAAAAATGGTGCTGATTCAATACGTACGATAGCTGCCCCCCCCCCCCCCCCCCACACACACACACACACACCTTTTTCATGGCATATTTCCCAAATTCCAAAATTGTTCTCCTAATTAAGTAAGCAACCCTAAAAGCCCCCATAGGTTGCCGCTCCTTCGCGGACATACCCTTTTCGACCAGTCACTAAATGGCCTGGCGGGCCCGTGTGCGAAATACGCATATGTCGGAAAGCGCACGTTAAATTCCCAAGTTAAGTAAGTAAGACACGTGCAGGATAGCGTTACTGTTGTCAGGGAGACAGGCGCGGCCATTAACAGACAGACAGACAAACAGACAGAAGTTTATTCAATATTTTAGGCCATATGACCTATAGTACAGTAGTGTTGTTTTTGTATCAACATTGTACAGTCACGTGTAGGTAATAATAAGTTTACATAAAATATTAACGTCTAATTTCAAAAATCTTCTTCAGGAATATTGACAGAGATGATATTGTATTTGCATTGCAGGAGTTCAACAAATGTCTCATCAGTTGTTCATCTTTGTACATAGTTGAAATCATAGGGAGGTATCTATTTCTAAGAAACTGATAATATTTACAAATGAGAAGTACATGAAACTCATCCTCAACATAGCCTTCATTACAATAACGGCATAAACTACTTTCTTTATCTTGTACATTTTTCTTTCTGAGATTGTTAACATTAAAATTATGTAATGATATACGTAATTTACACAAAGATCTTCTCAAAGTTCTATCCTGAAGTACAGATACATATTTTTCAGGAACAAGTAAAGATTTTATATTCGTATAATGGCATAAAAACCTTGAGGATGATATTTGACAGTGCCAATCTTGTGAAAATATATCAACTAATCTTTCCTTAAGCATGAAGATAAATAGTTTATCATTTCCAACATCTTGAGATATCCATGCAAGAGAAAAACCAGACATACAAAGAATATTTCTGATATCAGACACCCATAAACAATATTTACCCTTTTCATCCAAGGCTTTTAACATATTATAACAATGAAGAGGAAATCTATTTGAATTCATACGAAGTAGCTTTATCCAATATCTAACAGACGTATATCGAGGCTGTGACATGTCAAATTCAGCCCGTGCTCCACGTGCATATACCAATCACCCCTGCATGTTTTTATTGGACTCGGCTGTATCCCGAGTTGCACTAACGTTTCAAATTCGACGCACGCGCACACACACACACACACACACACACACAGAGTTTAAAACACGACTCTGCCAGCAAGTCCGCTGTTTCGAGAACAAAAGGGTAAACGTGATAACGATCTGCAGCCTCTCGGCGCCGCTGTACAAATAGAAATAACTCTAGCGCTACGATGATCGTAAATGTATGTTAAAGTACGGGAGTTGCGATCACCTTAGCGCTGAGATCCCTTTGTAAAACGGCACCCTGATTAATCGACAGCAGACAACCGCTAAGTCACGTGGTCACTCTTCTAGGGATTTCAATCCCAAGTCCTGTCGATGAGAGTTATTTAGCTTAGGGACCGAGAAAATAAGACATGAAATATGTCAAAATAAATTGCTAAAATATGTTCAATATCACAGCAAAAACAATTACTTGAACCCCTATGTGAAAGTAAACTCGACCGACGCCTGGTCAATTTCCCACGTGCAACACAATTTCCTCGTGTCATTTGAACCATTCCGGTGCTGTTACACATGTTATCAGTCTGATACATAACACAAAAAATAACACACCGCACAAAAATTTTTACACACTGTCAATATTATTTATGACACTTCCAAAGTATGACTTAAAAAAACGTTTTGAACAGTTTACAGGTCCAATGACACTGGCGAAGTTGTAACTATGTTGCAGTTTAGAATCATTATCTTCCCGAGGCAAGAGAATCCACCAGCTTGTTTATCAAAGTCTAAATTAAAAAAACTAGGCTTTGATACAGGCCAAAGTTGACACGCTTGCCTCCGGAAGATGAGGATCACAAGATAAGCGAAATGTGAATCACGGTAACGGAAAACAAAATTAAGAACAATTAATGCGAAGCTGAACTACTTGGGATATTTTTTAAGAGGACGCCTTCATGGGACCTTTATTAACCATTACCGAAGTAGGATTCACTTGATATTATTAAAAATATTTTGCTGACGTCAGCATTTTGACAATTCCCGGAGGTGAGGTTGTCAGTCTTGGCACTGATCTAGTTTCATGATTCGGTGTGCATTTCATCGGGGTTTTTTTTTCACAAGGCTGGGGCGAAGCGAGGATATTCGTGTCCCACGATCAGTCAATTTCACTGACTTTTTCCAATGTGTGCAGAGACGCAAAGACGAGTTCAAGTGTCTAAACATTTAGATAAGAAAGAACGCTGCTGTATTTTTTCGTGCACGGGAATTCGCAGGGCTTTCCCCAGGAATGTGGACGAAGTCCTTCAGTGTAACGACATTTCAAGAAAACATTCTCGTAAAAGACCTAAGAACATCAATATTCGCTTTCAATACGCTTATTATCGTTAGTTTCGCGGTCATCTGACCTGCCTCCCCCCGAAAGGAAAAGAAAAGAAAACGCCAGTCGAGTAAAATTCACTTTAAAAATACATTTCTTTGCTTTAGTTTGTTTTTACCCATCATATAGATCTAGATCTATCGATATTGGATTTGGAATTGCACATAAACTTTAAACCTTGTGTATTGGCGTATTTATTGATTGAATATTGACTTGGTGGAATTCTCGCAAAAAAAAACAAGTTTCTTGTGATTTTCAAATATCTAGACACTATTTCATTGGAATCTCAATCGATTGTAAAATTATAATTTCGTTTTCGTATATTACAATCCTTCTTTTGGACGTCAGCCTCGTTTTCATCTGTGTGTAGGGGAAGGTCACTGAACATGTGATAAGAAAAAAACCTTTACGTCGTAGGGATTAAAAAAAACACGATCGAAGTGTTTGACCACAAACACTCGATTCCCAGATGGAAATGAATGTTGCAGAGAATCTTCCCAGCAAAGAGTTAAGTACCGCATCGTTGTAATTGGAGATGTGGAGTGTTAGCGAGCCCAGCGACGTTATATCTGGCATGTCATCATCCAATACTGTCCGCATTGGCCGTCAAGACTGTTCGTCGGTCAGTCTCGTGATTGTGGGTGCAGGCTAAAACGGCACCTCAGCAAAACGTCACCGATTTCTCTGGCGAAAACGGCACCGCATTTGGCGAAAACGGCTACTATGTGTCGGGCGAAAACGGCACCTCTATTTTTAAGAACGATAACGATTTTTGTAGTAATATATAGGGTTTAATTACATGGTGTTTGATGTATTTACATGTCATTTGATGTATGTGATGTATTTACATTGTATTTCCCGTTTTTTCCACAGATAAGTAAATATGTTCATATATACAGTTTGTGGCATGTCCATCGTCAACATCATCATCATCATCATCAACATTGTGAGAGTACTTGGGTCAGGGAGAGATATCTCCATCTCCATCCTATAGTTGGAGGAGAGGCTAATTTCTAATGTAAACTTGTTTTAACATCTCACAATTATTGGCGTTTGCAAGTTACAATGTAAGTTTAATATCATTTATTTGACCAAGGTAAAAAAAAAATAAGGTGCCGTTTTCGCCGTTTTCGCCAAACGGTGCCGTTTTCGCCAAACGGTGCCGTTTTCGCCCGGTGATGTTTTGCTGAGGTGCCGTTTTCGCTATAACCCGTGATTGTGACGCGACACCTTTGTAGTATTAGATCTACAGACCGACGCATGAGACCCATTGCATCGCCAATGCGTCTTAATATTGTTTGTGTTTATTGCTGGAAATGACGTAGGCTGTGGGCCTATGTCACGAATACATGTATAAGTCTTTATTCAAATGCCTTAAATTTATTTTGGAGAATTGTTTGTTTGGTTTGAGTATTTGTTTGGAGGATTGTTTGTTTTGTTTGAGTATTTGTTTGGAGGATTGTTTGTTTGGTTTGAGTATTTGTTTGGAGGATTGTTTGTTTGGTTTGAGTATTTGTTTGGAGGATTGTTTGTTTGGTTTGAGTATTTGTTTGGAGGATTGTTTCCCAACAGGTATTGCCACATTTTGATCTAACGAGCAGCAAATTCATCCCTCTAAGTAGCGACCATTTTGATCACCAATGAATCAGATCTCCGATTGGCCACAAATTTGATCTGCTTGCCTTTTTGTCTACCTAAAATATACGTTACTCCCTTCAAGATCTACTCTATTTTGGGGAAAAAAAAGATTTTTAGACGTACATTTGGAAATCAATGTGAACATATATATGTCCAATCACATACTCTCAGTCTGGCTCCTTGGAAAAAGAAATGGTTGGCATCTAAAAATAGGTTTGACTCCTAAAATATTCATGTTGGTAAGTAACCGCTTGCCTCCTTCGTAAAAAACGAACTTAGAGGGCTGCAGAGGAAAAAATAAATTCAAAACTTCAAACCCGCGAAGATCCGGGGTTGAATAGGTCTTCAGCAACCCATGCTTGCTGTAAAAAGCCAGTATGCTTGTCTGAGGCGACGAACGTGATCGGGTAGTCAGGCTCGCTGACTTGGTTGATGCATGTCATTGATCCCAATTGCGTGGATCAATGCTCATGATATCAATCACTGGATTGACTGGCCAAGACTCAATTTTTTTACAGACCGCCGTCATATAGCTGGAATATTGCTGAATGCGTCGTCACACAACAAACCAACCAACATAAAATGAATATTGAACGAAGCACTAGTAAAATAGTTTTCCCTACAAGGTATGTGTTGGCACAGTTATAGGAGTGGGAGTATGTGTCAGTGTTTAAAATGTGCGAGGTATTTACCACAGACAATGGGTTAATGGTAACTCATGCCAGACCAGAGATCAATCAAGACTAACTGACTGTTAGTTTCATAACAAGGGCTGGTTACAGTTAGTGAATTACAATTTAATATCACATCAGCATTATGTCAGGGATAATAATAACAAAGACAGCATGATGTGGATATAGGAATGCATAGTTTTCTGAGCAAATCACAAAAGACTGTTCAATATTTCTTTACCAGTTGTTTACTAAACTTTGCAGTGATATCACTGGCCTTTGGCTCGCTGATTTGTTTGATGCATGTCATCGAATTCCAACTGCGTAGATCAATGCTCATGATATCACTCACAGGATTGTGTGTTCCAGACTGGATTATTATCCCCCGCCACGAAGTGGAAGGGGGATATAGGAATGGGTGCCATCCGTCCGTCCTTCCATCCTTCCTACCTTCTGTCAGTCTATCCGTCCGTCACATTTCGTTTCCGGAGCAGATCTTGAAAACCGTACCATATTTCTCCACCAAACATGGCACATAGATAGGTCTATTGGTAAACTGGTGCCTTTTGATAGTCGTGGATTTTTGAAGAAATTATTTTTCAAGTTTCCATGGCAACGACTTTGACTTAGACTGAAAATTGCGGTAGTCCTTGTTTTCGGAGCAGATCTTGAAAACCGTACCATATTTCTTCACCAAACTTGACACGTAATGTCATCTCGCAGTATTGAATACATTTCCATTCTTGTTGGTAAGTTCTGCATTGCTTGTGTGACTGTTCCTCCAAAAGTGTCATGGACACGGTTATTGCATTCATTGACTAACTTCATGCAGAAACACAACTCATTACAAATACAACAGTGTAACTGATCTTAAACCTACTCAACTGTATAAACACTGCCTCTTATCCTGAATATATTCTTGTCAACCATACTCTACACTTCACTTGCTTGATAACGGTGTTAGAACCTACACCGAAACCATCGATCCTAATTGTAATAAAGAAGTTGTTTGTCCATTTGTCTCATCCTTACTCATTCCAAATACAGTTACATATTCTATCATAAACTGCAGATGGCAAAACAACACCAGTAATAACTTTTTATTAGTGCTGCAATTAGGCCATTTACATAAAGGCCCAGTGAACATACTTCACAGGAGCTAATGCATTGCACACAACCGGACATGTCATACTGGCGGGGGATATGAGTATTTCATGCTTGTTTACAGATATAGCTTGAATATTGTAGAGTGCGGCTTTAAACAACAAGCAAACAAACAAACTTCTGAAATATTGCTTGCTATGACCAAGTTCATGAGCTTTGAAGCCAGAGAGTAAAATCAAACATTGAGGTTTGGTCAAGCATGTTTAAAGTGATAAAATATTTGATTGTGTTCAGTGGGGAGACATCTGACAACACCATGGAGAAGACACCGAGGCAAGATGTGTGGAACATGGCCGACTTGGAAGGGATGTTCAGGAAGGTTGCTGAAACAAGGAAGGGAAGGGAGAAATTGATGAAGTCGTATAAAAGACTTCGATACATCTACCATCAACTGAAAGAAAGACTTGAGGTTGAGCAGGAGAAGAAAAATACAGGTAAATTGTTTCTGGGGTGACGCAATATGTTTACCTCACTTGAGTGATGATCCAGTAGGTATTGTGATACTTCTGTGATGGTTCAGTTGGTATTGTGATACATGTGATGATTCAATAGCTATTGCCTTACGGGGGCACGGGTGGCCAAGTTGTCTAAAGCACCGTGATTCACTGTGCCGAGTTGCATCCCTTGGGGCATGCCAGAAACCTATGATTGTGGGTTTCGCCTGATTTGTCAGCACCATAACTGTTTCTGGGTTTGTCAGCACCATACCCGTGCTCTTGGGTTTCACTGAAGTGGTAAATGTCTGACACCTGCATCACTTCGGGTTTTCCTCCCACATTAAGCTGATAGCCGTGATATAACTGGAACACTGTTAAAAGCGGCGTTTACCCAACTCACACTATTGCGTTACTTGAGTGATGATACAATAACTATTGTGTTACCTCTATGATGATGCAACAGCTATTGTGCTACTTCTGTAATGATTCGGCCGGGGATAGAACCTTATATAGCGACATGCATACACGTGTGTGTGGCTTCTTGTACTAGTCCACTTAATTCCATGCCGCAGTTTAACATGAATACCCCACTCAGGCAAGTATACTCAGAGCCGACCAGTAACAACAATTACTATCTTTTAACGTCTATTGGTATGGCACGGGGATCGAAACTCCGACCTTCTGCTACCGGGCGGACACTCTACCACTAGATCATGGAGGCGGTCACAGGCAGTTTGATATTGTGAGAACTACGTGATTGATCCAGGTGTTAGTATAGGTTTACCGAAATGCTGGCCTTGGAGATATGATCAAGGCGGGTCCTAATGGATTTGTGGAATCAGATTTAGCAGTTGTTTCATGATAGGTAGTATGTTAACATGAGCCTGAAAAAGTTTATGAGGCCACATCTTTTCAATACTCTTCAAGAATTACCCTTAGAATTTACACATGAATACAGAGTTCCCGCTGGCTTGTGAAACTGCCAGTCCACCACGACTGGCAACTCTAAAAATTACCAGTCCCCCCTAATTTTTGTCAGTCCCAACTTTCAACAAATGAAAAAACGTATGTAAATTACCTGGTTTTAATTCTTTCAACTCTCTTTTTTTAATATTTCAAGACTAAATCACTGCAAATATATATTTAACCTTGAAGCAAAGCAAAATGTTATTTAATAGCACTAAAAACAGAAAAGGGGAACTGAAAAGTCGACTTTTTTCGAAATATATACTTATATGAATATCGTCAATGTTTTGTTCAACAACAAAGATTTATGAGATGCTATATTTGCCGGTCCGAAGGGACTGGCAGTAACATGAATTACCGATCCAAGGCTAATTTTACCGGTAATCAACTGGTAATTACCGGTAAATGGGAACACTGGAATAAATAGGTCCTACTATCATGTATCCTGTTGTCAGGAGACGATCAGTGTTGCATCAGTGAATTGTAATGCCCTAATGACTACCAGTTTTACTTGCTATATAAGTCAGGGTCAAAGCGTACGCTTGTGTTCTAAGCAGAAGCCATCCATTCCAAGTTTGTCCTAATCAGTATAAATTTTGCACCCAATTCCGGCAATATTACTTGAAATGTATTTTGAACTGATTTTGTCGAAAAACATCAAAAATATTTTTAACCTTACTACATGCATTCAAAGTTTGTCAGTATCAGCATACTATTTTGCACCCAATTCCGGCAATATAACTTGATATGTATTTTGAATTAATTTTGTCGAAAAACATCACCAGTGTTTTTACTTGTTTTTGACCTCGCTGCAGGAATTCCAAGTTTGTCCGAATCAGCAAACTATTTTGCACCCAATTCCGACAATATTAATTGAAATTTTTTTTAATCAATTTTGTCGAAAAACATCACCAGTATTTTTACTTGTTATTGACCTCACTGCAGGCATTGTCAGATATACAAACAATTAATGTTGTATTAATAATATCTTGTTTTGGAGCGGCAGGTTTCCAGATGTTCAGTTTGTGCAATGAAATGACCCCTACAGTGAATAATACTGATGGTGTTTGCTCGTTTCAAATTAATAATTTTAGACCCTAGGTAACACAAAACTTTCTTTTATGCCCAGGTTTCCTGCTTGTGCAGTATGTGCATATATGCAATAAGACTTTCACGAAATATCAACTCGATGTGTGGTAGCAGAGCAATCTCATTAAAATCAGATCTTAGTTCTCGCTTATGCTAAACAAAGATCTGAGGACATCCCATTAGGGGTCACGACAGAACGACCTTTCATCCAACCAATCAGAGCGTCGCTTACCAGATCATGAAAGTGACAGTCGGAATGTGTTTTCTAATCATGCAACCACGATATATTTAACACAGGGTATTCCGAACGACAGTTACAGGTTTATGATTATATGCATACAATCTGTACCATCTATAAGCCATTCCTGAATGTTCTTCTTATCAGTTTTAAAATTTTTAATCGAGAATACGTCAAAATATGTTTCGAAGCGTAGTCGCCAGTTTGAAACTAGTGTTGTAAAGCTCGAGAAAGCTGCCTTCTGATTGGCCAATGTCGATTTCTTGTCAGTCATTTCAGTGGTCGGTCAAAATTCCTGAAAGGTCGTTCTGACGTGACCCGTAATGGGATGTCCTCAGATCTTTGTGTTGCGGTAGCGAAAACTAAGGACTGATTTTAATGAGATTGGGTAGCAGAGTTGCAAAATTCAGGCATTTAGCTAAAGGTCTATATGTGTCAAAAGTAAAAAATATTATAACTGATGTAACTGCTGAGTTGACCTGTATCTTATTGTTATACCTCTATAGAATCTTGCAATTCCTTTGATTAATTAGGCCACCTCCGTGGTCTTGTGGTAGAACGTCTGCTGGTTCGGGTTCGATCCCCGGCCGCGTCATACAAAAAGACGTTAAAAGATTGTACTTGTTGTTACCCTGTCTGGCGCTCAGCATTAAGGGGCTAAAACAAGGACTGGTCGTCTCGGAGTCAGTGTACTGTGTCTGAGTGGGGTATTCATGTTAAACTGCGGCATGGTATCTCAGTGAGCTAGCACTATAAATCAGCATCAGTCCGGACTAGTACAAGCAGCCACACACACACATACACGTGGATGCACGTCGCTATATAAGTGCAATAATCTTGGACGCAATGTTAAACCCCAGTTCACCTCACCTCACCTCACCTCACCTCACCTCACCTCACCTCACCTTTGGTTAATTATGTACCAAGTGATGAAGCAATGCATTTCAATGTAGACCCCCCAAATCATGTGACTCACTCACTGACCTTGTATATTGACCCGTCACATGATCAGTATTGACCTGTCATGCAATGGATATTGACTCGTCTGGTAAGTTACTGTAATGAAACGGGACGGTTTAAAGACCTCATAAGCTTTAAAGTGAATTTTCGGTCTAACAAAACGAATGATTATTCTTGACGAGGTCAATATGCAAGGTCATATTGACCTCGTCAAGAGTACTCATTTGTGTAAAGTTAGGACCAATATAGTGGAGGCTTTCATCCTTAATTTTAGATTATTGCATCAAAAGCCATTCTAAAATACCTTTGATATTGTTTGCCAAGGGAACCTGCTTTGGAATCGCAGATGCATCCCTGCAAGTATATGTAATGACAATGTTCGTCAGGTACCGACTTGATTACTTCCAGGCTACGATATTGCTGCCTGGAGGAGTAAACCACCAAAAATAACATTAATAAATAGAGTGTGTGAGTGAGTTGGGTTTAACGCTGCTTTTAACAGTATTCCAGTTATATCATGGCGTGTCAGCTAAATGTGGGAGGAAAACCCGAAGTGATGCAGGTCTCAGACGTTTACCACTTCGGTGAAACCCACGAGCATGGGTATGGTGCTGACAAACCTAGCAACATAATCGGGTCGAACCGGGATTCGAACCCACAATCATAGGTTTCTGGCGTGCCCAAGGGATGCAACCATGCACACCAAATTGTGGCGCCTTAGACGACTTGGCCACCCATGCCCCCTTATATAAACAGATAAAGTAGAACTCTAAGATGCCTGAGTCTTCAGTTCCAGTTTGGATTATGTTTTTATCTAAGGCCTAACAAATTATTTTCCTTGTTTATCGATTATATAACTAATATAACTAATTTTTCCCTTTGTTTGAAAAATAAATAATTGAATAATTAAGACGTTTTTTGATAATTTATCAATAATGCTACACAATCATCAATCTTTCAAAGGAAGGGAAGTGACTCTTGAATATAATGCACACGCCCAAAGAAAAGGGCTTCAAGAAAAGTTCCTATTTTGTGTATTGTGTCAAAAACGACATTGTTTTGCTTCAGTTTGTTTTTCCTCTTCCTTGCAACAAATTAGCCCAATAAGTCTGCAATAATAACATTAATCATATTTTATTGATTACCTTATTATATCCATACATCCAATCTGGCCCAAAGAATCCTTGATAACTTAAGAATAAGATAAGAAAAAAACATTGGTCTGGCATAGCAACATTATATGCAGAAAAACATTATGTCAAAAGGTCCACACCGTGATTCCGTGCAGTTTAAACCGATTGATTGGTCAAAACTGGTGATTTGGTGGATTGTGTGTCATTATTCCCAGATGACATAGCACCTTGTTTATAATATCAATCACTGACAAGGAGGGCACTCAAAAGAAAAACTTAAATCCCCCAAATATATTAATTTATGTGCTGTTTCATTTCAGGCCAAGAGAAGACAGGAGACAGTCAGGTAAAAGCTGATGATGTGAAGTTACAAGAGGCTAGCGTTGTCACATCAAGACCAAATGATAACACTGATACAACACATCTTAAGGAGCCTTGCAGAGAGCAACCCACTTATGATGGCAAGAACCAGCATCTCCGTTCTTCTGCAACCCTACATGCCTCTACTTCCAGTGAAGGTCCACACTGTCTACCAAAGGCTGGAAACATTATTCCGGCACACACCGAGGGAAGGAGTTATGAGATAACAGATGAAGACAGTGATGCCGAAGATGTTCTGGAACACGAGCCTATGATCACCGGAGAGTCGTCAGCTGCTTCTGATGCGAGAAATGTTGCAATGCCTCAGTCATCAGTATATCGCTATGTGCAAGGTGTCAATCCAGGTGTTGTCTCTTTGCCAAATACAGACATGATTGATGTGCAAAGTTTATATAAATCATTAGGTATACAAAATGTGTATACTTCTGAAAGCCCAAATGGATCTGATACACACCACACACAGGAGCGGGGTATGAGTAGTTCCTGTTTTCAAGGGCTTAATGCACAACAGCCACCGAAGCAGGGGATGAGTAGTTTCTTTGCTGAAGCTTCTTTAAATGGTTCCAGATCAGATCCACAGATGAATCCAGTGGCATCTTTGGACCATGGAGCATCTGTTGTTGCTGCAGACACATCGAAAAATGAACTCAAAAAGATGTTGTTTCCTTGTACAGTGTGTCCCATATGTAACAAGAGCTTCTCAGCAAAGTCAGTTTTGAAAAAACATTTGCTCATTCATTCCAACACGCGTCCATTTAAGTGTGGGACTTGTGGGAATGGGTTCAATTCAAGAAGTTCTCTACAGACTCACGAGAGGCTCCATTCCGGAGAGCGTCCCTATGCATGTCGGTATTGTGAGTTGAGATTTGCGGTCAGTAGCCACAGAACAACGCACGAACGGACTCACACTAAGGAGCAGCCGTACCAATGCGAGTTCTGTTCACGTCGCTTCTCTCTCAGCTGTTCTCTGCAACGGCACAGACGGCTCCACACAGGGGAGAGGCCACACAAATGCAGCGAGTGTGGCAGTGATTTCAAACAGAAAGAGCATTTGAAGTACCACAAAGCGAAATATCATACTGGCGAGAAGCTGCACAAGTGCACTGAATGCAGTGAAGCTTTTGTGTATGCCCAGCAGCTGAAGCACCACAAGGCCAGGGTTCACACGGGAGAGATGCTGTACAAGTGTACATACTGCAGTCAGGCATTTTCCTACCCCCACCAGTTAAGGTCTCACAGGGCCGAAGTCCACATGGATGAGACTCCTTACAAGTGCAGTCACTGTGGGGATGCTTTTAACTCTTGCCAGGAGCGGGACGATCACAGAGATAAGGTTCACACGGGTGGGAACCCCTACAAGTGTGATGACTGTGTTTGCGTGTTCTACCATCCCAAGGAGTTGAACCACCACCGGATGCAGGTTCATCAGGATAAGACATCCCTAGGACAGTCCGACTTTCCAACTGATGTGGATGTAGATGTAGATTAAGACTCTAGAGTCAGCTTCAGTGTGCTTTGATTGGCTTACTGAGGAGGTGGAGGAGAACCAGCAGGTGCACTTTCTCTGAAATTACCTCAACTTACAGGTCTGTTTGTTCTTGAGGGTGAAGTGTGAATTGCAAGGGACTGACCATTTGATATTGTGGAGGGGGCCTGGGATTTTGTATCGAGATTAGATATTTGCAATCAAACCAGATATCTTTATATTCAAAGCTGTGAGTCTGATTTTTTTGGATTGCGAAAAACACCTTGCACCAATCTTTTGCGGCAGGCAATTACTCATTTATTTTCAACAGTCTTAAGCATGATCATATTTTTCAAGAATCTTCAGGACAATTTATGTTTCAGGACATAATCCACCCCCAAACCGTAAGTATATCAAATGATTGGTCTCAGTCCCTAATTGATGTATTTTCATTGTCAAGATGTATTCTGTTTCTGTGTTTTCTTTACTGGCAATGTACATGATTTCATGTTTTGAGATACGTGACATGAAATATTCTTGAACCAAAATTCTGTTGTATAAATCGAGCTTGAGAGAGTGTTAGTTCTTGAGAATGTGTGTCACTGGAGATATTATAGCCACCACCAACATCCAGTTGTAGATACCTAGCTAGTGAGGAGTGTTTGTGTTCGTTTTTGAGGATGTGTTGCACAGGAGATACCCTAGTTATTACCAACATCCTGTTGTAGATTGTAGAGTTAGTTCTTGGGAATATAATGCACAGGACATGCTGTTGCTACAACCAAGATCCTGTTGTAGATATCTAGCTCGTGAAAAGTGTTAGTTCTTGAGAATATGATGCACATGAGATACTGTCGCTACAACCAAGATCCTGTTGTAGATATCTAGCTCGTGAAAATTGTTAGTTCTTGAGAATATGATGCACAGGAGATACTGTTGCTACAACCAAGATCCTGTTGTAGATATCTAGCTCATGAGGAGTGTTAGTTCTTGAGAATATGATGCACAGGACATACTGTCGCTACAACCAAGATCCTGTTGTAGATATCTAGCTTGTTAGGAGTGTTTAGTTCTTTGGGATATGATGCACAGGAGATACTCTAGTTAGAATCAACACCCTGTTGTACATGTTGTAGATGTCTAGCTTGTAAGTAGTGTTAGTATTTAGGGAAGTGTTGCACAGGAGATACTGTACCTACAACCAACACCCTGTTGTAGATACATTGTAACTAGTTGTAAGGAGTGTTTAGTTCTTGGGGATGTGTTGTACAAGAGATACTCTAGTTAGAATCAACACCCTGTTGTAGATACCTAGCTTGTCAGTAGTGTTGGTTCTTGAGAATGTGTTGCACAGGAGATCAATTCACTATCGCAATATGCTTATTTGTTTCATACATTTTTTATTGTGCTCTGAGTGTAAACACAGTAGTCTATAGTTTTGCTTGACTGCAGGTCAAGTTTGTGAGAGATACCAATAATGTTCTTCATGCTTGTATTTGTCATTGTGAATGATCAATGTTGACAGTAACCTGCTTTACGTTTGGTTTATTCTCAGGAAGTCAGCTGGTTCATGTAAACTTAAAATGAATACTGTAAACCTTGTCTGCGTGGCTTTAACTTAATGTGTTGATAGTGTTTCTGCTTTTATGGTTGTTTTGATCATGACATGAAAACATTGTCCTCCTGTAAAGGTGGTTTTGGCACATAGATAGGGACAGTATTTATGTATATATCTTGACTGTTTTTTACAGTATTCTAGTGATGAATTAGTATGTTCTTAGAATGACAACAGTGCCATTGTTGTAAGTACAGAATTGACTGTTATTGTTGATGGAATTCAGCATTTTGTAATGTTTAAATGACAATGCCTTGATTGTTAGTGTGGCTTTGTCAGATCGATGGTGACAATCCACTTTTAGGTTTTAGATGACAACTGTGTAAATGTAGTCTTCACCGCACATGTTATCACTGTTTGGCTTATGTGTCTTATCAAATCTTATAGCTATAAAAGTGTGAAGCTGCAATCTGTGGTTTTACGGCGCAACGTTTACGCTGCACTTGGTGCATGTTGCATCAAAACTTGAAATGATAAAGGTGTCATCAGAGCTCCAGATAAGCTTTTGGTGCTGTGGGTATTTTACCCATGCATTTTAAAATCATTGGGTATCAGTAATTCTACCTGCGTATTCAAATTTCTGTTACCCACTAGTTTTACACATGTGGGTATTTAAGTTAAATATTTAAAAACACTATTCATCTAGTCCCTGCAAACTGGTGTCGTGTGGGTTCGAGAACTTTATAGGACTCAAAAATACCACGATACTTCCACAAGAAAGTGTGATGGCAAATGATCATGATGTAACTGTCATCGTGGAGTTTGGCAAGGTTGACGGAATGCCCCTTTATAATTTCAAAATAAGTTGCTGATTTGCTAATCGAATACGCAGGGTTACTTCACAATATTTTGATGATACGCACAAATTTTATCTTTGTAGCGTATCTGTAATGTTCGTTGCGTATTTGATACGCTTGGATTATATTTTACTGTGTATTTCTGCATTTCTGCATTTCTGATGCGTATTTCACGCAGATACGCAGCTTATCTGGAGCTCAGTGTCATGCTTGAATTCCTGTTTTCTACTGCACCATTCTGACAGTATTTTCCTTTAAATTACATTTGAACCAAGGTTTGAAGACAGTATCATTCTTCTGAAAGAAAATTTGACTGTTCATTGTCTGGTTGTCTGTGACTGAACCTAGCTTTGGTTTCTCTAACAATTGCCCACAGATTTCCAATCTGATTTTAAGCATGGTGGCCATTCTTTCATTATAATTCAGATGATCTACAGAACCTTGTGGCTCTATTTGTGTCTTGGAATGACATCAGTCTATTACAAACTAAAATGTTAAGTTTTTAATTTGGTTTTATGTGTCTCTGGACGCGAAGAGTGTCCTACTTGTAACTATTGTTTGCACTGTCCAAAATTGTCTGTGTTCTCTACTGTGGAAGATGCCTGATCTTTCTCTTTCAGGCCTTTCCTAGTTTATAACTTTGGTCCTCAATTGTTTCTGAAGATCTTTTATTGGTGGACAAAAATAAGTAGAATAATGTTTGAAGCAGAAGTCACCATGTGTCCATTGATATGCATATAGATGTAAAATGTCTCTTCATAGTTATCTTGGGGGCGGTCGGGTAGCCTAGTGGTTAGGGCGTTCGCTCGTCACGCCAAAGACCTGGGTTCGATTCCCGACATGGGTACAATGTGTGAAGCCCATTTCTGGTGTCCCCCGCCGTGATATTGCTGGAATATTGCAAAAAGCGGCGTAAGACCATACTCACTCACACTCACTCATAGTTATCTTGTTTATCTTTAGAAAAGATCTGAATAATGTCATGATATTGTCTAGTATGTGTTTATGTGTTGTTGTAATGGATTTGGTTATATATGTTGCTGTACAGTATTTTCGGTAATAAAGGTTAAACCAGTTGTCATTGTTGATCATACAAGGTATGATTGAATTAAATTTACCCAGCTGAGAAAAATGGGTAAAACTTAAGTTTGTCATGCAACAAAATCATTAAAGTTATTATTCTCACAATATGTACCTTTTTCCTTTTTAAGCATTGCTGCCGTGGCAACAGCAATTGCAATAGTGAGCTAGGTTTTTGTATTAAACAACTTGTCCCTCTGGATTCTCACTAACAAACTAGTGGTTGTGTCTGTCCCTGTAGGGTTTTACAAAGAAATGTACGTTTGATAAGCCTTTAGCCATATAGCGAATATCCACCCTCCCTCAGGAATTAAATCGTCGATCCGGAAAGGTAGCTCTACAGTCATATAACCAGAATATCAAACCACCAAGAAGACGATTGACGAGGGTTTTTCGGAAGTTTTTTGTCTGATGATGAGACTGCTCAACCGGGTTCGATGAAGCTCCCTTTGACAACTAGGGCGAACCATCCCTCGGGCGCGGATGTTTGCAACATTCTTTCAACTCTTTGGGATCCCTCTGAACCTGCTTGCTCTTCACTTTTGTCCACGGTCACGCTTGCTTCGACGATGCCTACTGGGATTCAGGATATTTCCTTGTCAACCTCTTCTTCGTCCATTGACAATCTGAAGCATGTTTCGTCGAGGGTATTCCATGACTGCGACTTCCATAGAACCTGCTACAGTCATGTCTTCTATACCCTTGTTTACGACATCAGCTCAGTCGTTACACTTGTGAGAGGTCTTTAGATTGATCTTCAGACTCATCGAACTCCTCTTCCGATCACCCCTCCCATGAGTATCGCTCTCGAGAGGGCTCTCTCGACGATTCCCTGATCAGGTTTAACTTACCAAGTCTCGGGTAACGACGGGAAACTTCCTCCTTCAGTTCATGTGTTAGACTCGAATCAGCAATCTTTGAAGGTTCGACGAACCCACGATCGGGATAAGCGAATCTCACAGACTCACCATACGTCTAAGGTCCGGGGAAACGTCAAAGGACAGGCACTCATTGAAGACTCAGCCTTCTTCCAAGGTTTGACGAATCTCAAAGGATCGGTATAATACCATCGCTTATCACACGATTGGGAATGCTATCCACAACATTTCCTCCATGGCGATGATATTCTTATGATCCTGTCTACCCGGAATACCGTCCTCGACCGATCCATGCTCCCCCTCGTCGCAACTAAGACCCTCATTGCAGTTAGCAGATGTCCTTCTCCTAGTAGCATACATGAAGCTTCTCCTCCTTCAAGCCACACGGGTTCCCCGTCTCCTCCTCCGGTTCGACGTACTCTGCCGTGATTGTACAAGATCCCTCGGTGACTTTACATTCCTCCAGTTTCTACAGCGCGGAACTCTACTGATGTAACCACACAACAGCCTTAGTCTCTTTTACAGGCTATAACGTCAGCTTGTCTTCTTCAGACTGCCCCCCCCCCCCCCCCCCCCCCCCCCCCTTGGGCTCTCACTCTGGACCCGCGTCCAACCAATGACGTCGACAGCCACCTGTGCTTGTCTTCTCGATCCGGTACAAGAGGACCACCTTCTCGATCGTCATACTTTACCTGCCTCTTCCTCCGGCAGTTTTGCCTCTGCAGATCCGGCCTCAGCCTTATTTTGGGTCACTGGTCAACTCAAGCTCCCAGAGAGGATACTTTGTCTTCTTTTGTTGTTCATTGTGCTAATATTACCCTCCCTCCCAGGCCGGTACAAGTGGAGATGGCGTCTAATTTGGACATTTTTTTTTTTTCTTTCTGTCGATTAGACGATCGATTACAGTCTCCGCGATTTGTGTCGACGGGTACTAATGGCACGTTTATGACGAAAGACCACTATTCGAAATTGCCCTCCGGGCGGGTTTGCGAAAAAAGTGGTTCTAAAATATGGCATAAAACCATGGTTACATGGTAGATATTGCCGTCGAAACCATCCTTATGTATGAACAACGTCCTGGCTCCTTGTATGCCGAATCACCAAGTCTTGTTAACCCTACGTGTATGAGTGTATCTACAAAGGACGCTTGTAAAATAACTTCCTTGGTTCAACCTACATACCTTCCCAGGTCGCATGTGAGTGAGTGAGTGAGTTTGATTTTACGCCGCTTTTAGCAATATTCCAGCAATATCACGGCGGGGGGACACCAGAAATGGGCTTCACACATTGTACCCATGTCGGGAATCGAACCCGGGTCTTCGGCGTGACGAGCGAACGCTTTAACCACTAGGCTACCAGACCGCCCCCAGGTCGCATGTGAATTTTATCAGTGAATGATATTGAGGTCCACAATGGAATTTGATTTTTTTCAATCAACGTCCTCTGATTAATTCATATTCAGTATAATCGCCCTGTAACATAGCAATAAGAACGATTTCGACTATATCATAAGCATGTGTTTATGAATCACCATGAAATAGTGTTTAATACCAGGTGTTCGCGAAAAGGTAAGCATATCCTTCCCCACCGGTGGCAACCGTTACAAACACATGCAAAGGCAAGTCAATTGTTTTACGGGAAGAAAAACGATGTGATACAAGTCAAAATAGAGAATTTCATCTGACATATTTTTTATCACTTATCAAGTTTGGAAAGGTGAGCAAATGAGTGAATGGATGAGTTTGGTTAAACTCCCATAAATGAAAATTAAGATATGCATATGTTCTGTGAGGAAATGTTGATAATTGTGTAATTACATTTTGCGATCTGATCAGTCACGTTGTCATATGTTGATAATAGGTCAAAGTCGACTTCATGAACACAGAGTTGTTAGTTTTCATTTCTAGTCTAGTGGCTGTACATGTAGTTGTTATCTGACTTGGTTGATGCATGTCATCGTATTCCAATTGCGTAGATCGATACTCATGATGTGAATCACTGGATCGTCTGGTCCAGATTCGATTATTTCATACCGCCGTCATATAGCTGGAATATTGCTGAGTGCGGCGTTAAACAAAAAAACAACCAACCAACCAACATGTAGTTATACTGAACAGAGAGTGTTTTTACTTTGATTCTTCAAAGGTGCCTTCTCCTTTTTGGGGAAGTATAAATAGAATTTAAATTTCATACAATGATTTATGTACATTTACTGATAACTCAAACACATATTTACCTCCTTTTACAGATACTTACCTTTTTTAATTGATTCATCTGTTAAGGATCCGCTTAATAAAATGAAAATGACAGTGAACAACGATGTTTCTGGAAGTGTTTTTTTCTGCAATTCCAAGATGGAAGTGGCCTTTATTTGAAATACTTTGTACAAACAAATTAAAAGTCCATATAATTGTAAGTCATCGTTTGGCAATGACTGCGAATAAGTTGGAAGGTGAGGAAACACAACTTATTTTGAATTGTTTAAGCTAGCGTACACGTACACCAACTACCGTATTCGTGGTAATAAGCGCCCCGCTCTCATAAGTGCCCACGGCGATATTTGCTAATATATTGGCTAGTGAACAATCTCAATTAGCATCCCTTCCGATGGATCAATGTACCCAAGACTTATTCATTCGTGTATAATACACACTCGTGTGTTCTTATGGGCAATTAAGGAAAAATATATCTGTCGTGTATAATACGCACAGACTTTTTCTTTGTATCATTTCAGGCTGTCAGCATAAACCACGAAATTTACGATCTTTCAACTGGTTGTTTTTCACCAAAATTTTATTCTAATAACAAGCCCCTACTTCTAATTTTGAGAGCGCCCTAGGCGCTTAT